ACGGGTGCAGTCGCCGCGGCGAGGCTGGGCGCTGCCCGCTGCAGCCTGCTTGGTGGCTCTGGGCGTGACGCTGCAGCAGGCGCTTTCCAGCAAAGCCCTTCTTGCACACTGGGCAAACCAACTCCCGCCCGCGGGGTCTTTCCAGAGGCCTCCCAGATCCCTGCGGCTGGGAGCCAATCTCATGCCCCCTCAAGTTCACACCCGCCTCGTAGTCAGCCACGCTCATGACTCTCCCAGCCCCCTGCAATGACCCCTGGGGTGGCGGCAGGCACTCGGCACCGGGGTGCCTGGTACGCACATGGCCAACGAGCCCCTCCTTGGAGTAACACTGCTGGGCACAGTGCAGGCACTTTAAGACCATCCGGCCATAATCAAACGCTCGCCCCTTGACCGTCTCTGTGGTCAGGATGAAGTGAATGTCCGGGCCTGGATCCGCCGGCTCGGTGCTGGGCAGCTCAGGCTCTGGCGCTGCCTGGGGGCCAGCTGGCGAGGCGGGGCGGGGCGGTCCCGGGCACTGGGGCCCAGCGGCTGCAGCTGGTGAAAGGTGCGACAGTGGTAGAGGAGGACGGTGTGGGAGGAGAAGGTTCTCGCGCACAGCTCGCAGCTGTAGACACTGCCAGCCTGCACATCTGGGGAAGGGAGAGTCACACACTGGAGGGGAAGCACTGAAAGAGGGTCTGAGCCTCAGGGGAGCGACGGCTCGGGAGGGTTCACCAGCCTATAGTTACCCTACCTGCCGGGGAGGCACTTGCCAGGGGATGCGGTGAAGGCCAGGACCGTAACAGGGTTCAAAGAGAGCTAGATACAGTCATGGGGGTTGGGTCCGTCAATGGCTGTTAGCCAGGATGGGTAGAAATGGTGTCCCCAGCCTCTGCCTGGGAATGGGAATCACTGGAGGATTCCCTGTTCTGTTCCCTCCCTCTGGAGCACCTGGCATTGGCCGCTGTGGGCAGACCGGACCCTGGGCTGGATGGGCCGTTCCTATGTTCTTAAGTGCGCCTGGCGGGGAAGCCCAGCGCCGACACCAGGAGCCAAGCGCAGACACGTGCAAGCAACGGCTCAGCAGTACGCTAGAGCGAGGCAGGCCAACTGCTTTTGTAGTGTAGGCATGGCTTGACTTACGGTGAGTTTTATGCAGAATGAAGGGCATTAGCTCGGAGAACTGGCGCAGACACGTCCCACACACCAAGGTATCATGCTCCACGCTCCTGCTGGGGCCCTGGCCTGCATGCAAGGAGGCAAAGCAGAAGGACCCTTACACTGGGATAGGGAAAAGGCCTGCCTCCTCCCCATGGCCAGTGGCTACAAAGCACTAGGGGCATGGCTAAGCAAGACTGCCCCGCAAGACAACAGGGCTGGAAGAGCAAAGTCCCCAGCCTTTCCTCATGCTGCAAAGAGCCTCTGTGTGCAGCAGAAGTTCCTGATACCGGTTACAGGACCCCTCACACAGACAACGGATCTTCACTGGCCCCTCAGGCTCAGCCTGCAGCATGAAGGAAGAAGGCGCCTGACCCGAGCGGAGAGTCAGGAGCCGAGCACTGAGGTGAGAGTGGGGGAAGGCAGGGACAAGAAGCAAGGGTGGGGAGAGAACAGGGACAAGGAGCCCAGCAGGAGACTGGGATGACAAGAATAAATGAGAAGAGCCGGAGCAGATGGGGTGAGGGCTTTCTCAGTTCAGTTTAGTTTTAAAAAACTCACGGGACATAACAGGGCAGTGGTGTTACATTTAACATACATATTAGGGATTCTTTAAAAAAAAAAAAAAAAAAAGAGAGAATATTCCTGTATCTTTAAAGGTTTTTTTTTTAATTTGGTGTTTGTTCCTTGTCAAGTTCTCTGAAGATCTATGGATTGGCCGTTAATTTTTTAAGTGACGAGACTTTTGTATTGGTTTTTGTCCAAAACGTCCTGTAATGTTATTTTTATCACTACGTTTTGTGTACTATATCTGTCTGTCTTTCTATATATAGATATATAAATATATAATGCATGGTTCTTCGCACTCCATCCACCGCTAATTTGGCTCTCCGTCTCTAACTGGTTGGCCACCCCTGGCTTAGAACCAGTGTTCCCTGTAAGTTGAGCACTTGGACAGATGCCTGGGAGATTCAGGTGTTGCCCAGCTGACTGGCACAGCGCCCACAGCCGGCAGCATGAGTTTCTAGTGGTAGTTCACATCTGCACATACCTCAGTGCACAGAACAAATTTTATTCTGCGCATGGATGGAAAAAATGAGAGGGAACATTGCTTAGAACCCAGGCTTCCTGAATCTCAGAATTCCTCTGCCCTCAGCTGAACGAGGGAGTGCTCCTAGGAAAAAGCTAGCATGCCACCACCTCATCAAAGCCTGTATCTTAACTGGGGCCACAAGGAGGTTGAACTAAATTTGCACTTCAATTCTGGCACATCAGAACCTGACCCTGCCAACTTAAAGTTCTTGTAAAGCAGGCTTCAGGGTGGGGAGGGGGGGCTGTAAACGGGTTCTGCTGGCGGCGTGTCCGTGAGGGAACGGAGGGGCTCAGGGATGAGTTTTGCCCTGGCGCTGGCTCACTGCACCACTGGCATCGCACATCCTCAGCGGACAGGCAGCGCTGGC